ACCAAAAATCACCAAGATGATGATGACGAGGCACAAGGAGGACAAATGCACTCACTCCAGGGTCCAGGTAATGTTGATCACTGCCCTGTTAAAATATGAAGAAATACTTTGCAAAATTAAACCCCAATTGTGAATTCATGTGGCAGAGGTGCAAAGGCAAAACCGGAAAGAAGTTTGATGCGGATGATTTCTGGTATGACAAGCAGGTCTTGGGGAAAAACACCCTTGGAACTATGACTAAAACAATCACTTTGAATGCCAGATGTTCTAAGAACTATACCAATCACTCATTGAGGGCAACGAGTATCTCAATGCTAGATCATGCTGGATATGCCTCAAGAGACATAATGTCAGTCTCGGGCCACCGGTCCGAGACAAGCATCAAGAACTATTCTCGTACAAGTGAACTGCAGAAGAAATGTATTTCGCACACGTTATCAAAGATTCATTGCCCAACAACGTCTGCGTCAAATGGTGAGAGTGGGGAGAATGATATTAGATCTAGACCCTCTACTAGTACTAGTAGTACTACTGGTGAAGAATAACCAAATTTTGACTTGATGACAGACAGTCAGATTGAGCAAATAATGAGAGATATCCCTGACTCTGTCAGTGTCCTAGATGATATCACCAACACAACTGGTAGTCCACCTCAACGTCAACCCCAACCACCTACTATGAGACCGTCACAGTCAGCAACACTGAACATGAGGAACCAGCAAACAGTGCAGCCGCCAGGCGCGTACGCAGGATTTTTTCAAGGGGGGGGGGGGGTTTAACATTTATAAATCGGGCCGAAAATTTCGCAACGACTCAGCCAGCCGCTGAATAAGCAGGGGGGGGGGGGGGGGGGGGGGGGGGGGGGGGACACTTTTTTTTTTTTTTTGGTCTCGAAATTTGAAAATTTGACATTTTGCTCCGTTGGGGGGGGGGTAAGGTCAGCTTTTTGAGGTCAACCATGGGAATATTTTTTTTTTTTTTTTTTTTTTAAATAAAACAACAACAAAAAAAATCCAAAAGGGGGGGGGGGGTTTAGAGAAATTTAGGGGGGGGGGTTTACACACAAAAAATTACCAAAGGGGGGGTTTAACCCCCCAACCCCCCCCCCCCCCCCCCCTGTGTACGCGCCTGGCAGCCGCAGTACATATTTCATAGCTGTACTGTTAACATTTACCACAACTAAGAAGGAGTGAGAAAAGCCTTGTACATGCGTTATTGTTTTACATTTTCGTGTTTTGAATTGTTCCTGCTGTTAGTGTTAACTATTTGGTGAAAATTTCCTTGGAAAACTTTGTTGAACTTTAGGATGAACTCCTTGAAAAAAATTTCTTGAACTTTTGAATGTACTCCTTGAAAACTTTCTTGAACTTTTGGATGAACTCCTTGAAAAACTTTGTTGAACTTTTGGATGCATCAGGATCAAAAGGTAAGTTTCAACTTTTTCTTTTATTTATTTTTTATTTTTTTTATTTTTTTTTTCTTTAATTTTTTTTTTTTAAATATTTTTTTTTCCTTTTATTTCTTTTTGAATGTGATGTAAATGTGAATGTCCAAGGAATAGTGGAAGGGATATAAAACAAATATACACTGACTCATTCTCGGAACAAGCTGAATCTATTCGCACTCAGGAACATCAAAAGTACTATTTCCCTCGGGCCGATGGCCCTCGGGAGAATAGTACTATTTGATGTTCCTTCGGTGCGAATAGTTTCAGCTAGATCCTCGGTTGTCATTGTATATTTGTATATTATTTATCTGAGGAGGCACTGGCTTAGTACTATTTTTTCCGAGGGGCGAAGCCCCGAGGAAAAAATAGTAACTGTGGCCAGTCCCTCCGAAGATATACAATTTCCACTATTCTTACGAACTAAATGCTTGATATATTTGTTTTATATCACTTCGTTACGATCCGAACGTCTAACTTAATGAATGGATGGCATATGGTTTTTAACTTTATTCTTATGTCACCCACATTGGGCTGGGTATTGGAGAAGTTTACAATCAGTTTGAATTTGTCAATTTAACCTGCGCACAATTATATTAATGCGCATTTAATGAGACGCGCTAATTGCGCATTAATTTTGACTGAACATGATGTGATGTCACAATGCTTTTCTACCTGAAAATCTCATAGAGCATGCGCAGTTCTGCCCATGAAAAAATAGTGGAAAATATTCGGAGCTCTGGCAGAGATTTGTTTTACAGAGTGAAATTATATTTTATCACGTGACCACCAATTGACCAATCATGTATTTAGAAAACTTATGAATATTCATAGAAGGGATATAAAGGCATTTATAAGAGGTGAAAAGGGGCATTTATAAAGAGGGGATAGGTCCCTTATTTGAAAGGGAAAGGGGCACGTATCATTGTTAGAAGGGATATTATCAGAGGTGAAAAGGGGAACTCGGCTCGTACTTTAGCAAACAAATTCGTATTCACTGGCTGCCTGCCGTAGCAAAAAGCAGAATTGACAAAAGACTAAACTCCGTTTCGTTGACAATCAGCCATGCATGAAGTCTTTCGTCTACGGCTGATTGTCAACGAAACGGAGTTTAGTCTTTTGTTAATTTCGTTTGTTGATACGGCAGGCAGCCAGTGAAAACGAAATATTGGTAGGCACTTTTTTTCAAATGAAAAAAAATGTAGTGCTCACTGCCCCCCTACCTCCCCCCCCCCCTGAGCGAAATATTGGGCGGCGCGATTTTCAAATCCCCCCCCCCCCCCCTGTAGCAAAAAGCTAGATCCGCCCCTGCGCGTTGAAATTCGTCACCCTTCGGTATTACACGACGAAATTCCCATCACCATCTTTGGTACAAGCTCGCTGATTGGCTGTTTATTCACTTCGGGCGTCATTGAGAACGCCCGTAGATTTGGCCAAAACCCGTTCTGGATTTTAGTACCTCAGCGGTCACCATGCTGTTTGTAGCTCCTCGATTTTGCACACGAACCGCAGATTCTCTGTCCGCAATGAGTTTGCGAAAACTCCCTTTTATTATCTCTATCGACAACCATTATTTTTGTCTTTTTGGTGTTTAGAAGAAGGTCTTTCTCTTCACTTGCCTGTTTGATGCGATTCAACAAATCAAATATTTTATATTTTATACATTTTCAAAATGGTAGCGCAGAGTGTAATGCAAGATTGAGATGAAGGGATAGGAGAAGGACTTCAAGATTGGAATATATATTCGCTATAAGTATCAACTAAAACGTACGTTGTCAAATGAGATACTATTTTGTCCACAAATGCAATAAGTAATAGATTTTGTCTAATGTCATCAAATTATCTACTTGTACATTTGTATATCAAATTTTGTACACGTACTTTCTATAGCTAATATATTTTTGAGGACTTAGAGATAGAAAAATCTGCTAATTGATTAATTACTCTTCTTTGCATTGTTTGCTCTAACTTGTTAAGCTATGGTCATAACACCTAAAAGTAGCCTGCTCGGCGGCCGGGCGGCGCTTGTTTTTAGGGCATCGCTCGGTCGCTGCTGAAGTTTAAGCGCGGAGTTAAAATTCGGGCGGCGCCTGTTCACTTTCACTCGCCGCCCAAAGTACGCTCGGTGCCCGGGCGTTCACCGCCCGGGCCCCGACCTAATCGAGCGTTCGCCGTCGAGCGATTTAGGCTGCCGAGCAGTCGCCGTCCGTTCACTGCCCGGTCACCGCTGGGAGATCAGTCGGTCACTGGGCGGCGAGACAAAAATCGGTCGGCAGCCTTTCACCTAGCGGATTCGATTTTTGACCTAAATCGCTCGACGGCGAACGCTAGATTAGGTCGGTGCCCGGGCGGCGAACCCCCGGGCACCGAGCGTTTTTGGTGCCCCGCCGGTCACTGGCCGGCCGCCGGGCAATTTCTTTAACATTTCTATAAAATCAGATGGTGGCCGGTGGGAGACAGCTCGGGAATCGGTGGGTCATCAGTCGATCACTGCAGGGATTTCGCCCAATGTTGACCTAAAATCGACCGGCGACCGACGGGATATGGACAGTGCACCGCCCATGCATCGCTGGGGCTCTACAACCTGCTAGACTTCTCCAAAAATCGTTGGGCGATGCCTTAACTCCAGCGACGACCGAGCAGGCTACTAATTGGTCGGTCGCCGCTCTGAGCTGTGACCATAGCTTAAAGAAAGGGAAAATTTGTAGACACCAAGAAAGTATTCTCAAACAATTACATTTCTTTTATCCTGTTATGCATTTTTCTTGTCAATAAATACAGATGTGGGGGTTGTCCACATCTCATCACAACTACAGAACAGTTTAATTGAAATTAACATACATGTACATGTGTGTATTGTGGAATAAACTAGAAAACTTCATAATTGTGTATTATCCAGTTCATTCAATTTTCACTAATGCAATTCCTCAATATTTGTACCTTTCCTCAAAGCATGTGCTGTGGATATTCTTTTTCATTTCGTTTATTTCCATTTCCAACAAAACAAAATAAAATACATGGGATTGCATTGTACATAGTAAAACAATGAAACTTAACAATATAATTGTTATTGGTCCACAGTGTATAACAGGCAAAGACAGGTTGGTCGTGGAGGGGACTGCTGAAAAGCTAGGTTTGTAGGTTGCACCCCCTATAACATATAGTTGCAAAAATGGTATATCAATAATAAAGGGAACGCACACATACATAAACCAGATAGACATAACATAAAAGGAGTGGAATTTAAATTGCACTTGCCCCTATTGTGTGCTCTTTTAAAGAGCACAACAAAACTTCAGATTAGGCACTCCATCTCATTCAATAGGAGCTGAACACACCCTTAATACTGGAAACAGCATTCAATGGCATGATGCCCACATAATCCAGTTTGAAACGCACTTCTGGTCAAGAATGGTTAAAGATTCCATCTGCATAAAAAGGATTAATCCTTCACTGAATAGGGATTCTAGCTATACATTGTTACCTTTCTTCACTCCAGTGATCTTGACGCAGAAGACGGCAAGACATTGTGTAGATAATAGATGGTCAACGGGAGTGTTTGTTAAAAGCTTCAAGAATTCTCTCCAATTAAAAGAAACCCATCGGACGGGCGGACGATGTACTTACTTGGATTTTACTTGGATTTACTTGAATGTAGAGACGTAAAGATTATAGCTTATTTGCCCCTCGTCACGTTGGGTAGTCTCTATTGGAAAATTAAGAAGATGGGGTTTTCCAGTGCCTCTCAACAACAGATATAAACATGTTAACACTAGTGGTAGAAACTGCGTCCTCTGATGAAGCATTCCAATTATTTATGCTTCTAATTTAAAGGAGTTCTGGCTTGACTGTAATCTGCACCTAGGCTTCTTTAGTTTCATGCTATAACCCCTGGTTCTGCCACTTTCGTCAATCAGAAATAAGTTGTGTAGTTCAATACGACCAAGTCCTCTTGAAATCGTGTATGAAACTCTCACCCGACAGTGAATTCCAACGGCTTCTGAAGCTGTATAATATTTAATTTTATTTTCGGATCTCTTTTGGTTATTGCATTTGGATATACCTGGCGCTGGAAAAGAGGACACATACGGACAGAACAGGTAAGCTGCTTTAATTGGACAGCCAATATGGCTGACTTTATTGGTACAGCTGGACAGGGCATTGGGAACAGTAGGAAGCAGAGTATACGGTTGCCAAGTCTAGATCTAGTAAGAGGCAAAGAGTTGGATCAGAGGAATTACCACCAAGTCCACCTAGGTCAAGGCAAGATCAAGACAATCTGACAGTAAGGTTGAAAGGAATCGAAAGAAATATGACGAGACTGTGGTCAATTTTGGTAGCAATGGGAATAGGTAAAATCAAAGGAGAAACAGCAATTCACTCTGTTGTAAGAAGTTGAAACGAAATAGAAATAAAGTGCAATACCTATAACCAGGTAAAGGGTTTTCATAAACGTTACCCTCTTTGATGAGTTAGCAGTTCGAGGATACAACAAACCCGATACGGGATCTAAAGGAGTAAAGGTAATAAAAAGTTTTGGGAAATTTTGAAAATTGGGTGGAAGGTGATTCTTTATAATTTTGATATATTCGGATGCCCCTGTGAATGAATTGTAAGCACTAGAAAAATTAACCCCTAAAACACTTCTGCTTTCGAGAAAAATAGAATATCAAATAGCGCCTACGGCCGTACAACGGTAGCTGCGACCCTGAAAATCTCAGAATATAAAGTTGTGATATATAATTTCCAAACGGGAATAGATAATCGGTCGATTTTAGTTTTAAAAAAACAACTTAATTAATATAGCTTAATTAATATCTTGACCTTGAGAGGGAGCAATACAACGTAAAGAGTTTATTATTTACAATTTCATAACTTTAGACTCGATTTCAACCGCGACAACGGGAAACAGCGAAAAGCGAAACGCGAAAAGCGGAGGGACAACAACAGAGAGAGAGATCATTGAATATTGCTCGATCGCATATGCTTCCAATAATGTTCATTTGAACCAAAGTTATGACCCCATACCAAAACTTTGTATAACCTTTAATTGGTGTTATACCGCAAGAAACTACAGAGGAAGACTTTTAAGAGGCAGTGATGAGACACGGTGTTATTACATGTAAAAGGCTCAAGAAAATAATCTAGGAAAAGAAGTTTGTACCCTCTTTGTCAATGTTACTAATATTCAAAGACAAGACACTACCAAAAAGTGTTGTGATTGGTTTTGAAAATTCCAGTAAGGCCATATGTAGAACAAGTCATGAGATGCTACAAATGCCAACATTTCGGTCATCTGAGCAAAAGCTGTCATTAAAAAGACCACCGCTGTTCAGGATGTGGTGGAGAACACGATTACAAAGATTGTCCTAATCAGGAAATGGCGCCAAAATCCATGGATTGTGCATGTCCACTCTCAGCAGCTTATCCAGGTTGCCCAAAGTACACAGAACAAAAATAAATTCTCAAAGTGAAAAGTGACCAAATCTTTTCCTCTGCTGAAGCAGCTAAACATTTCAAAACAAAACCCGTTCTGAATTCTAGCTCCAAAACAGATAAGTATCCAAATAAACCCCGACAACCCCAAAACACCCCCATTAATGTTATTCCAGAGCCGATTATGACTGCAAGAACCACTGCACCCACCTCTCCTTTTAATGGCGGTGTGACCGCGCCGTTTGTCCTACTGTTTCGTTTGTCCGTCAGACATAATATGCGGGTTTTCTGCTCGCACGGATCGTCCGTCGGACGATCCGTGCGGTTTGCTATCCGCACATTCTGTCCCCCCATTGTTTTACGTGTATATTTGATAAAAGGAAGCAACTCGGCAAATCAATGTATTTAGACTCATCAAAATCATGTGGTTGACATTTTTTCTATAAATTACATAATTAAACTCTACAATTTTTTTGAAGCAAATGGGCCAGTCCTTTTGAAAGTAGAAGTGAATATTTTCTTTAAAACCTTTATTCTATGAAGGCATACTCGTGATATCGGTCCCACAACTGTTGTAATCGATTATACTTTTAAACGTGGCTTCGTACTTCAACCAACTCACTACTAGTATATACTCGTGATACAGGCCCCGCCCCAAGTATTTGGGGGCGTTTCGAGGTTTAATGAAGGAGTTAAATTGAAAATAAAAGTGATTAAAAATGGGGTTGAAAGTGAGTGGGGGAGGCTAGAGTATTTAAGATAAGATAGAGCGTAGCACAAATTGGCAGATGCTCAGGGGGTAGGGGCATTTAATTACGGTCAGATGAGCATATTTTAATACCTTATTCATGACACTGGCAGGTCACTAATTGGCGTATGGTCTAAGGGGAGGAGCCCCCGGAAGCTCAGGGGTATGGGCATTTAATTACGGTCGCACGAGCATACTTTCTTTTCTATTTCTTTCTATTTAATTCTCTTTAATATACTTGTTCAAAAGTGTGTGTGGGGGGGGGGGGACTTGAGCCCCCAAGCCCATCGTTCCGCGGAACCTGACATGTAGGCCTCTAAATAGTAAATAAGCACATTTCTTGCCTGACTTTAAATTTTTGATATTTGTCATTCTCCAACAAACGCATAAAAAGTATAATTCACTAAAAAAGTCAGGAAAAATCCCGGAAAATTATGCCATTTCAGCAACATCTGTAAATCACTGGTATCAGATTAGAACCAAAAAAAAGATCACTTTTAAAGTTTATTTTGGTGGGGGGGGGGGGTAGCAACTGGCTGAATACTTACATCTTTGGTGTCGAGGGGCTCTTTCTTCATTTTTTTTGTTCGGTAATAAATAAGGTTAGTTTATGTGGGTGTCACTCAGGCGCGGATATACAGGGGGCGACGGACCCGCCCCCTCCCCCTCTTTGAAAAAAAAATAAAGGAAAGGAAAGAAAAAGAAAGGAAAGAAAAAAGTAAAGAAAGTCATAAAAGTAGCCCCCGAAATTTTGTAAGTATTTTTTCCCTGATCCGTATATAGGACAAGGCCCTGGGGCAGCTATAGCCAAACTCCGATATTTGGGTCGTTTTCCGATCAGAACTAGCCCTAACTATCATTCCAGGATTTTGTTTCAGAACCTGAGACAAAGTTACCCAATCCCTTTAAGTTTCAAAAAGTAGACTTCATTGACCTGTACATAGGCTTAGGAACCGGGGGTCTTGGGGCTCAGATATCATTGAGCCCCCCCCCTCCCTCCCCATTTTTTGGGTGGGGCTTAGATATTATTGAGTCCTTAGGGGGCTAAGATACCATTGAGCCCCCAATATTTTAAGTGGGGCTCAGATAGCATTGAGCCGCCCCCGATACTTATTGCGGGGCTTTGATATCATTGAGGCCCCCCCAAAAAAAAAATATTTCGGCCGGGCTCGGTTATCATGAGCACATTTGTCTGAAAAAGAAAGAAGAAAAGCCTGAAATTTTTAGCCGCGATGACATAGACGAGGAACAAAGAATTTATTTCCAGGTGCAAATTAAAGACAAAGAAGGATCTCAGAATTATATTTTTTGGGTGGTGCCACATTTCAGTTTTTAAATATGTCCGATTATAGGCATGTGTGTCAATAAAAGTTTTGTTTTTCACGTTCCTGGGGTATTATTTTTTCCAAAGGTGTTAAATGTGTGTTATTTTAACACCTAGTACTTTGTCTTACTTAATAAAATAAACTGAATATCTTACAATTCAACGATTTCTTCAAGTAGGCCTACTTTTATTAATTTCTTCAACTGCTTAAAATTAAGGCTACAAATGCTTTGTTACTGTAGAGCTGTAGTGTGAACAGGCTACTTAGTAATTCACATTTATAGATTGGTGCACATCATTATGCTTGATCATCCATTCCTATCTGTTTGTTTTTATTCCTCTGTTAATCATCCTTTTATTTGCTACCTATGATATTTGAATATTCATTATTTCCTTGTATTATATAAATGAACATGTAAATACCTATATATGCAAAATAAACCCTGGAGGTTTAAAGTTGTAAAGCCTAGGGTAGTTCAACACACGCAATCATGAAATAAGGGTGTCTTCATCGAAGTGTCTCTGTAAGTTTAGAACCACGCCCTGTGCTACCCGCTCAGGCCACTCTAAATTCAGGGGCGTCGCTAAAGGGGGGGGGTGGGGTTGAAGTCGGTCGGATTTTTTATGTCGGTCAGCCAGCAATTTTTTCCCCTTCGAACTGTGACTTTTTATCAGACAAGGAAAGATTTTTGAAAATTCAGACAATGACTTAGAGTCTGTACAATGAATCGTCTTCTTTGTCTAATAATTTAAGGAAACGTCGAAGCTCCCGCGCTTCGCGCGAGAGGGGGAAAACTGAATTCAGACAATAAGGGTTAAGAGTAGAGAACGGTATACAACAAATCATCTTCTTTCTATAATAATAATATAATGAAACGTGTAAGCTTCCGCGCTTCTGGTGGGATGGGGAGACTGAATGCAGACAAAGATTAAGAGTCGAGAACGGTACAACAAATTGTCTTCTTTTCATAATACAGTCAAACCTGTCTACAGCGACCACCCAAGGGAATCTCAAATAGTGGCCGCTGTAGACAGGTGGCCGTTGTAGACAGGTGGCCCTTTGCAGCAATTTTGATTTTGAATAATTGATTGACAGCACTCGCAAGACCTCTCGCAGACCTGCCGCGACCCGCCAATGCGACCGGACCAACAGCAGCCGTGAATATACCGACCAGCCACAGCGGCGCTATTCTGCTCACACAGTGAAGTCAGAAAATCGTAGGCACTATAAAGCTACATGTAGATCTAGTAATGGTCATTTACACACAATTAAACTATTCAACCCCAAACTCGTCAATCAAAACATTTAATTACCGACGGGATATTGTTTCTTGCACATTGGATTGTTCGTCGCGCCGCACGTTCACAGGCTAGGCTATATGCCTGGCGAGTGACATGGGTGGTCCCTGTCTGTCAATCAAACTTTCAGACTCGTTCATCTTGATTTTCTTTAAATAAATTATGACATGTGTTAAAAAAATGCCGGACAATTTTAAAGATAGAAAATTATGTTTAATTAATTAATATTTTTATTTTGTTTAAAAACCGTACCACTCTTTGTTTAGTAAATGTTTAAACACCGATAAAAAACC